TAGAGCTTTGATTCTCTGCCCAGACCAAACTGGACCTGACCCGACCGGCCAGGTTCGGGCCCAAAACTGCTGGCGTAGGACAGACTTAGGTTGGGCTCAGTAGTGCTGCAGAGATGCACTGGCCTACAAATTTTGGTACACACCCAACAAATGTCACGTGATTTTAATCGGTCTATCAGTGAAAATTAAAATCTTACCAATTTTGAATCATGTGAATATCTGTCAGAATAATTGAAATATTAAAGACACATTGCTGCACTGATAAAGCCCTGGAAGGAAATATCTGCACTGACTATTAATGACCATTTGGCATTTTTGGAATCACCACAACTTTCTGAAATTCCCTCATAGAGGCCTTTTCTAACGTGTAACTGACTTAAACCTACACAAAATGAAGAAGGCAAGAGTTAATGCACAAACACTGGCACCATTTACTGAGTGTGTGTATGCTGCAGGTGACACTCACACAGAGGACGTGCAGGCCCACTGCTCCATCAACGCGCTCCTGGTTGGTGAAGTAATCCCTGGGGAACTCATGGATTGCTGCAGAGAAAACACACACTAATATTAACTGCAGTAAAGAGAGGGAGCTAGCCCGAGGGAATCCAAACCAACATATAATAATAAACAGATAAATAAAATCAAACTGACAAGCAAAGATATAAGTCAAATGGACAATATATCCAATAAGAAGGCAAAACAGTATTGGCACTACAAGGAATTCAAATGAAAAACCAACGGTTGCTATTCAAATATGAACATGAGGAAAAGAAGCCCAAGTCATGTCTCATTTTTCATGATCTGTTACATCTTTCTCAAGAAATGCTTTTGCCTGTTAGCGATTTCCAATTAAACGTCAGACAAAACTCTCTAAATGCCAATCATGGATAAACACCCCACAGGGAAGCGAAGACAAAGAAATGAAAAGCTAATGTACCACAACACACACAGCTTTTGTCTGTTTCCCATTTACTGTTGCTCCTGACTGGATTTTAAGATTCTGGTCATATATATGAATCACTTCAATGCAAAAAATCAACCATTACATTCCCAATTACTGCTGCCACAATATTTCAAAACTGGATGACTGAATGTATCAGGCCCAACATTTTATATTATATATACTTTTTGGGGGCTTTTCCCTTTATTAGATAGCACAGCTGAAGAGTAACAGGAAAGGGGAGAGAGAGAGCCGAGCTGAGTCCTGCTGCAGCAGCCCAGGTTCGAAC